GATCTGGCTGCTGCAGCTGGAGGGAGGGCACATCCTACTCCCACCCATCCTGCAGCACCCTTCCTGCTAGGGGGCAAAAAGGTTTTTGCTGCTCAGAGTCCCCCCCCATAAAGAGTGGATCGTGTTAAAAAATGCTGACTGCGCTGCTACTTGGTTTAAAACTTAAGTATTATTAAAGTGACGTCCTGGACCGGAACAATTTGTGGCCACACACCTGCATCAGTGCAGCCCCCTGCAAGGGCACGAGCCTGGGCTGGGACCCTCCAGAATCAGCAGAGATGAGGCAACCACATGGGCTGAGGGATGCAGCCAGGCCAGAACCTGGGCTTAAATGTGCTCCTAGGGATGGAGGAGCCTAGGGGAGGCTGCTCAGGGCTGCTAATATCCATCAGGGCCCTGAAGGATGAGCTCAGGTGGTGGTGGCTGTACCCCCATGCTCATACCCACCTGCTCTCTTTGGTCAGCACCGATTTGCAAGTCAGCTTTGGCTTTGCAAGTTTTGCAGTCCCCTGGCAGCTAAAACCCAGTTTACACGAGGCCTTAGCAGTGCAGCTGATGTTTGGGAAACCCGCCCAGCACTCACAAGGCAGGGACGGGCACTGTGTGCTGGCACACACTCCCTTCAGCATCAGCGGGGTCACCAGGGGGGTACCCCCAGGCTGGTGCAAATGTGCCTTTAGTAGCAATGTGGGAAATTGCTGAGGGTTTTCAATTTAAATTCAGCTTAAGTTCAGGGATTTGCACATTCAGAGTCTGGCTTGGATATGTCCCAGCAGGCCTTCCTTTGGCACATCTAGTTTGATGCCAAGGTCTATACAGATTTTTGCACCTGGTGTTATAAAATAGATTACCAATTTGCAGCAATTTTGCATGTGGGAGACCTTTCTATGGTAAAATCAGATTTTTCTGTACATAAAACCTTGCAGTCATGTCCCATCCTGTCCCCCCCACCTTAACCCTTGGCTCTTGGTTCCGAGTTTGACTACCCTCTGCTCTTTGTAACACTGAGTTATGGCCTGGCAAGAGGTGGGGGATCGTTCCTGATTTATTGCCCTCGGCCCAGATCATCCAAATTTGAAATTTGGAAAGAAACTCCCCTAGAATTTGGGAGGGAAAAAATAAAAAACAAGCTAAAATATAAAGGAAGGAGGGTTGACCCACGAGGGGAGTGAAGCCCAGGTGGCATTTGCTCTGAAGGGAAGGGACAATCTCCCCTGCACCCCAAGTCATGGTCAGAAGAAACCTCCATCACCTCGATTTAATAGAACAAAGATCTTTATTGATCTCACTGTAACAGCAACCACTGGCGAGAGCTTTTCTCCTCCCAAACACCTGCTTGAAGTCGGTAAAAAAACCCAAATCTATACCCTGACTAGCAGAGGAGCTGCCCCGGCGAGGCCAGGCACTCCCTCCCTGCTCTTCAGTCCCGAGCCCGGTTATAAAAGAGAACCAGGAGAAAGTCGCTGGGATGGGGAATGGAGACAAAAGGAGGTTGGGAAAGGGGGTGTTTAGAAAAAAAACGTGGTTTCCCTCTGGCTCCTGTCCATAAGTTTTAATTTTTTTTTGGCTTGGAGAGCAGGTTTCCCAAAATGAGCATCTGTACCGAGGGCGCTGGGTCCCTGCACCTGCAGCGGCTGTCCCCGCTCCACAAAGGATGTCCTCGCCCCCTGCCCCTGTCACTCCCTCCATCGAGGACCTAACAGACCTCCTAGGATCTTCGCTTTAAGGAAAATATATTTATTTATATATAAGATATATATTTGTGTGTGTCTTATCACCACCCACCCACACGCATATACATATTTCTACTTGCACTCACTCACTCGTGCGCCTACGACGGCTGGCTACATGTTCACATCGCATCCCACTGAGCACTACCCATGCAAGGGGAAGGGTTTGTTTATTTTTTGCTTTTCCCCCCCAAAACGAGTGGCAGCCCTCCCCCGCCACGAGAAAAGCAGCTGGAAGATGGGAGCTTGCAACCACCCGCCATGCCGACCCGCACCAAACACACCTAGAGAAATAAATTACCGGACGGAAAGTGCACAAAGCCTGCAGCACGGATGCTGGTGCGGGGCGTACCCATCCCCGGCACGCAGAGCCACCACCCCAGCAGGCACCAGTTCCCCGGGGGGTGGGGGGACACGACCCTGGCGAGGGAGGATGGATGGATGGAGCAGGCACTCAGGTGGGGGGGCTGATAAAATGGCACTTGAGAAGGTTGCAAAGCTGTTGACAGCCCAACAGGCAGTAAAAAAAAAAAAACAAAATAGGAGGGGGCTGGTGGACTTGGGGAGCACAGCACGGCACCGCCGCGGCATCCCCCGCCACGCACACCCTCACCAAACACTGCTCTTCAAGGCGAGAGTCGCACCGAGAGAGGAGGCAAAAATAAATCCCATCTCTGGGGGGTTTCAAGATGCCGGGCACAGGCAGGATGGCCACGAAGTGCCAGGCTGGCACAGCTGGCAGTGGCAGGGAGTTTAACACGGAAACCCTCTATCCAAAGCAGCACGGCCCAGCTGGGGGAAGCCCCGGTGCAAAAAGCAAGCAGAGGATGGCACCGAGGATGGCACCAACACCGGCACTGCAGCACCACATCCCTGCTGTGTCCCACCAGCGAGCCTCCGCATCGCCCCCCCGGGCACCCAGCTATTCCTGAGACATCGGATGGCACCAAGGGATTTCACTCCTGTATTATTCACATTTTAAAGGGTTTAAAAAAAAAAAAAAAAAAAAAAAAAAGCACTAGAAAGCACTTTCCCAGAGGTGCTTGTCCCCAGCCCAAAAAAAGAAGCGTTGTTGGTAAAGTGCCCCTTTTTAGTACCAAAAAAATAAAAGCAAGGGGGGGTTTGTAACATATGGCTACATCACTTTGAGTCCTGGCTGGAGGGTTGGGGACACAGCCCCCAGTCAAAGGGTCAAGACAGAAGAAATCCAGGTAGGAGACAGATGTGGGCACCTGGAGCACCGAAGGGAACATGCTGTCAACGTTGTCCTCCACCGAATGCCAGCAGGTCCCAGGGAAGCTGAAAAAACCCCTCCCTGGTGCAAGCAGGCACTCGGTTTTAGGAGCGATACTTTCGCCCTCCTCCCACAAGGCTGCCCAAATTATTATCCAGGAGAAGGAGCAAAGGGGGTGACACAGCTTCGGACCGCCAAGCTGCCGGCAACAAGAGGTTTGGAGTAACAGGAGGGTCTGGGTTTCTTTAGGGGGGAGCGGAGCGTGAGGCAGCAGAAGAGGCGAAGGGATGTTTTAAAAAGGAGCCCGATGGAGATCAGGCTGCCGGCAGGCGGAGGAGGAAGAGGACTAGGGCCGGATCCAGAAGGGATGCTCCAGCCGGCACATGCTGGGACCGGTCACCTGCAAAGGGGGTGAAGCCAGAGCTGCACTCCCCAGACAGAGGGGGAGAAGGGTGCGGGGAGGGGGCCGCCGGTGGGGACCGCTGCCACCTCCGCCTCGCCGGGACAGGTCCTTGCTAAGCTGACTGGGGTGTGCACAGGTCTGGGGAGTTGCTGCCTCTCCGTGGTTCCCGCTCAGATATCCATCTCGAACTGAGCGTCGTCCCCTGGTGAGAGGCAAGGAGAGAAGCGTTAGGGGGGTCACCCACCACCTCATACCCCCCCAGCGCACCCCCGGGGGTCTCTTACCCATGGATGGCTTCCCTTCCTGGTGGTTCAGGCTGTTAGTGTCCGCTTTGGGCTCCTCGCCGGACGAGCCAGGACTGGTGACACCAGGAATATTGGGGAGGTGACAAGGCGGGGTCTGGGCCATGGGGGAGTTGCGGCGGTCCAGCAGGAACTTGCGGTCGTAGATGATCCGGGTGCCTGGGGGAGGAGGGGGACGAGACAAGGATGGGGGGGATCCTGCCCGGCAGAGCTTTTTTCCAGGAGTCTCTGGGCAGGATGGGGCACCCTGGCCAAGGACCTCTGCCGAAGCCAGGGACAGGCAGGGAGGGCAGCGGGGGTGCGCACCGCTGCTCTGCCCGCTCTCATCTGGGCACGGCGGGCGATAATTCGGTGCTGGATAAACCCCCCCGGTGGCACCCGGGCACCAGCCGCCGTCGCCCCTGTGCAGAGGCCTGGCACACTCGTGGCAGGGGTGGGATGGCGGATGGGTGCGACGCCCCGAATCGTGTGTGCGGTGCCCCGGGATGCTCGGCCCGCGGCGTGTCAGGGCGGGACGGGGCAGAACCACTCGACGCCGTGGAACCGGCCACCGCGTCC